ATGTTTACATTACACAAAGCTCAATGTTATAAAGAGTCATTAATTATACATTCCACTAATAACTTTTTGTTTTTTTTAGAACTGGAACACTCTATATTAACAACAGTATTAACAGCAGCTTGCATGTGAACTCCGTACAACCAACATTTCGATTGTACTCCAACATGCACTTCAAGTCATCTTCATTATCAACTGAAAAACTTAGGTTGGGGTACCTCTCAGATTTATATATCAATGATAAAGCTTCTTCAGGTACTTTCAGCCTTTCAGCTACATCAAATTTCAGTTCATAAAACCTTGTTGTCGAGCATAGCTTTAAGAATATGGCATTCTCGCCTAAAGACACCATACAAATCAAGTCGTTGGCGGCCATTGGGGATGGTTTAGAGTTATGAAGACAGTTATGAGGAGTAATTGAGGGGATTTAAAGAACATAAGGGTTGTTGAAAGTTGAAGGAAAAAACCTTAATTTCATAAATGAGAGAGTGAGAGATAAAATTAGCCAATTTATAACTCATGATGGTGAAGCGCACCAGTAATGGATGGGCAACCTGTCCCCCCCCCCCCCCCCCCCGCGCGCGCGCTTTTTCGCCATCTCTTCGTTCTTAACTACGATGGGAGAGGTCGGTGATCATTTAATCCCTTGTAGTTGGTTTCCTGTGAGAGAGAAGAGGGAATTTACGGGATTTTTGTCAAAATACACACACTGTATGTATAAAGGAGGGCTAAAGGGGTTGGGCCACACAACAAACACAATTTTAGGGTTAAAGCCCAAGGGGATTAATTGGTGGGGCTGGGCCACTTCAAGGTCTCCAATTTAGGGCCTAGACACAATTTTCTCTTCATCTTTTCATATTGTTAATTGAATCATTTGTTGTTATCTACATATTATTATATCTATAAATGAATCAAAAATCAGAATTAACTATCCTATAATTCTAACAACTACAAACAACAATTTTATTAGACAGTTATAGACCGTTAATTTCTTGGTAATTAGGTGTATGGTTAGAAATATTGAATATATAATTTTAATTTCCATAAATTTTAGAATGTATAGATCATATGGAACGGCATAGATCCTTAAAAATCATGATCAAATATGTATTTTCATTAAGAACTCTGCTATTTGGCTCGCGGTTCAACCGCGAGCCCTCAACTCGCATAGAGGTGAACAGGGGCCCCCCTGTTCACCTCTCTGCGAGTTGAGGGCTCGCGGTTGAACCGCGAGCCATATAGCTTTTTTGTTTCATTAATGAGTATAACTAAATTAGACCCTGTGTGCATTGTAATGTAAACATACACTTTATCTATTTTTACTGGTAAATTTCACAGAACCCCCATTAAGCTTGGCCAATTATAAGATAACCCCTAAGAACTGTCACTTGATCCTTCTTATACATTATAAGTTTCATTGTTTTAAAAAAATAAACCCAAAACATATTCAGAACTTTCAACTAATCTCTTTAACGGTGTTAGATGAAATTGTAAAAGGACCAAAAATACCCTTTTCAACTTGGCAGTATTATTAGATAATTGAATTAATGAGGTCTAGGTTCAGAGGCCGGGTTTATCTCAAAATTGGACTGAACTTAATAGGGATTCTGTAAAAATTATCTTTAAAATTATTCAAACGGACATGATTTTTTTCCTTTTTTTTGGGCGGGTGTTTGCGGCCAGTCGGGGCGAGGGGGTTGGCGGGGCGTGTTCCATCAGTCGACATTTTGATCATGTCGTACGCACGTCATTTCACATGCACAATTAGATTTAAAGGTTTAAATGTGGCAATTAGGAGGTTAGCTCACAAAATTATTAAGGGAATTTAGCTATATTTCTATAGTTACGGGGTTCATCTCAAAATGGGCCAACATTAAGAGGATTTAGTGAAATTTACCTTTTCTTTAATAAATATACATACAAGTCAATAACATGGATAGCATTAATTTCATTAAGACACGCATTATGAACGGCGAGAATCACGCTCAAAATCAACTTGAAGCAGTACGTGTTGTTGGGCAATTTGCTTCTTCCTTTTTTGGGGATTGGGAATGGATAAAAAAATTAGGCTTAATTACACAAAACCCATGGAACTCTTGAGGAGTTGTAGTAAATTCTCATCAACTTTTTTTACTAGATTAAACCCTTCGAACTTTTGAAGTTATTGCACATAAGCTCCAATGAACTATTTTGTTTCACAGATCTTATCTTATATGAAATTTTATCTTTTAATTCTCAAATTAGCACCATCAACTTGTAACATGTAAGCACAAGATAAAAAAAAGTAGACGAAAGATTCCATCTTTGTCCTAGTGGCGGGCAGGACCCACAGCCACGAGGTAGTAGGGGCAATATATTATAAATAAATAAAATATAAATCCGCTAAAATAAATTTATTGATATATTCTAACATAAAAAAAAGATATTTTACAATTATTCTTGATTTGTTTATATATTTTTAAATCTTTGTACAATCAACTCAATTTCAATCCAATTTCAATCGTCTTAAATATCTCCATTTCAATATAAGTTACTAAACAAGCATCCAACCAACCATCTCTCATTTGATTGTACAGGTGAGTCTTCACAATATTTATTGCTGAAAATATTCTATGGGTTTAACACTTTAACTAAATGAGTCATGTCAAAGTCTATGCAATTAGAAAAAGCCAAATATTTAACAAAATGAGTTTCTATTTAAACTAGCGTGCCATGAGAATAAAAAGTATAAATTATTTAAACATATAAGTGGACTATAATAAAATTAAATCATGTTTTGAAGTATCGTTACAAGGTTATATGCAACAACTACTAAAGTTCATATAACTCCTTAAACTCAGTGGAGTTTAGTGTAATAAAAAAATTAAGTTTATTGAAGTTTTGCTGCTGCTACCCAAAAGTTAAAAAGGAGGGAGTATCTCATGGGATACAAGCAGACCCCATAGGATTCCAAGGTCTCCTATTTGGATCGATGCGTTACGACTATTCAAGAAAAAGACTACTTTCAGATGCTTTCAACTTTTAAGTTTTCACATGTGCAGACTTCCCCAACTTCTAGCAACACTGGATTTGTAAAAGTGGGACTTCTCTCTGAAAAGATGGTGTTTGGGATGTTGTACATAATAAGGAAAACATTCTCCTAATTTTCATTGTTGGAGAAATTTAAATAAAAGACTGTTTTTAAAATATGATTAGCAAATTCGATCGTTCTTAAATAATGAGAAAAATCAACTTTTTTCTAGCATGTCATCAATGCTGGTTAAAAATTGGTCGATTTTTAAAATAAAAAACCATCTTCAAAATACACAGGACTGTTAGTCTCATCTAATTAACAATTGCTAATTATAAAAGTAATTAAGCTCAGAATATACACGGGGCTATTAGTCCCCTGTATTCATTCAAAAACCCATTTTCATATCAACACCATTGCCCAATCCCTCTTCTAGATCTCCTCCCTTCTCTTCTCATCAATCTCCTGCAGGGCGGTGGTCAAAGGGCGAAGGTCGAGGGAGCCTTGAGGGCGAAGGTCGATCGACGATGAGGGTCAGAGCGGTGGTCGAGGGTGGCCTCAAGGGCGGTGATCCAGGGAGCCTCGAGGGTGAGGGTCGAGGGTGATGGCTATGGTCAATGGTGACCTCGAGGTTAGTGGTCGAGGGAGCCTCGCTGGTAAGGGTCGAGGGTGAGGATGGTGGTCAAGGGCGGTCTCCAGGGCTGTGGTCGAGGGTGAATTGGATGAGAGAGAGGAGAGAGATAAAGAAGATGGTCGAAGGAGAGAGTGCAACGTTGAAAATTTTAATTAACGAGACTAATTACACGGGACTACTACTTCCGTGTATTTTGAAGATGATTTTTTTCAAACTCGACCTCTTTAACTAGCATTGATGATGTGGTCAAAAAAAGATCGATTTTGCACATTGTTTAGGAAAACGGTTGATTTTGATAATTATATTTTTAAAACGGTCTTTCTAAAAAAATTATCCTTTTATTGCTAGTAGCAATCGAGTATCTGCTATTATTGCTCATTAGTTGCCGAGGTGGATGGAATATCTCATGCTCTGTATTATTCAATCAATGACTTACGTATTAATAATAACTGAATAATGGATGATTTCGAAAAATGAAATTCTTATTTGGAATAACCTCACCAAAAGTAATGGCAATGTCCTGGAGTTTTTGGACTATTTGTTGTGTTTCTATATTTAATTTGGTTTCTTTGGAATGAACAAAACAAGGAAGTTTCTATATTTAATTTGGTCAATTATGCAGTTGGATACGGATCGTGAGTTTTCCAAATGAGGGATCGATTACAGTACTTGACAAATTTAATGAGTTTGGTAGACTCGGATTTTGAGACAGAGAACAAGTGTTTTTTCTTATGAGACTGTAGGGCACGGAGATCTTTTTTGTATCGTGGATATAATTATCCACTAAAATTTGGTTGCTCACTGGTACAAAACGACGTATTCCAGACGGAAAATTTCGTCTGGGATAATTAGAATTCCGTCCAGAAAACTTATTCCAGACGGAATTCCGTCTGGAATACGAGTCTAATTTGTTTCCGTCTAGAATACAGTATTCTAGACGGAAATTCCGTCTAGAATGTATTCTAGACGGATTTTAGTAGACGGAAAAAAAAACCATCTATAATACATTACAGACGGATTTTTTCCGTCTAGCATAACTATCCCAGACGGAAGTTTTCCGTCTGAGATAATCTACATCTCAGACGGAAGTTTTCCGTCTGGGATAATTATCCCAGACGGAAATTTCCGTCTGGGATAATTATCCCAGACGGAATCCTATACACGACGACTTTACAACCCAGACGGAAATTTCCGTCTGGGATGTAAAAAAGCCGTCTGGGATATTGTGTGCAGTTTTCCAGCTTACAAATCTATAAATCCAGCTTACAAATCTGTAAATCCACTCAAATAACCCTGTAAATCCAGCTTACAAATTAACCAACCACACCAACATGATAACTATCCACAAAACAACTTAAATAAATCACACAACAAAGTAACACATGTTTTTTCATAAATAAATCACACACCAACATGATACCAACCACATATATACTTTGTTTTTTCACACAACAAAGTAACACAATGTCAACTTATAAATTTGCCACACATACATGTATAAATTTGCCGCACAACTGAATCAACTCACTATTTGTTTTGGGCTCAACACAAAGAAGGTTGTGATTTAAAAATACAATGACGGTTTACAAACCGATATCCAAGTCCATTTTCTCCAGAGAAGCTCAAAGAAACACATGCACCTGCACGATAAAAAAGAAGGTGACATTATTTTTAAGAATATGATATATTCCTAAATTTAGAAGTATGCTTAGTAATAACTAAACATGAGTCGATAACTTTATAGCATGAATTTGGTGGTTATATAGGTTATATCTCGTATTTTTATCTTTTTCCTCGCAGTATATGGTTGTTATGTCACTTTCATGAGAACTGGCCAGTTCTCATGAAAGTGACATAACAACCATATACTGCGAGGAAAAAGATAAAAATACGAGATATAACCTATATAACCACCAAATTCATGCTATAAAGTTATCGACCAGAAAACAATAGTTGTCGATGTGGGAGATTTTTTATACAAATCTCAACCTGAAATAAATCACCTAATCCCATTTCCAAAACACCGCCCAAACCTGAATATAATGAGTGTGACTTCCAAAACACCCTCAGTGATAAATTACATCTCATATTATAAATCCACAGAGCATGTAAATCCAAATCTGAATCCTGTTCTTTTAACACCCCATGCATAAAGTCAAGTATCAACATTTAAGCGCATAAAATATCATATTCGCACAAGACACATACACACATACACACATACAATTAACTAACTTACCAACCAAAATCAAGAGTCATCATCATCGTCAAGTTCCCTCCTCTGCACGTCACTACTGCTTCCTCCAGCAAGTCCAGCCTGAAAATAAATAGATTTACATTTAGAGAATGAAATTCAACAAAATAATTGCTTGTCTGTAATTTACCTGTGCGCCAACGTCTAAATCTAATTGGTCCAAAACTTCTTCAAATAACTCAGCTGAAATCTTCCCGGACAAGCATAAAACGATGTGTGTAAAAACATCGTCGCAGGTAGGGGATGGAGGCAAATCTGAACATATAGCCGTCGTCATCTGCATGAGTAATGTACGGTCAATCTTACCGCGCAGATAACGGTTGACGCGCATAATTGTAGAAGATGCAAGTGTTCTGTCTGATGATGTTGTCGCAGTCGAGGCTGTCGAGGATGCCGTGGAGGATTTTCTTGAGGTACCCCGCTGAGCTCCAATCCCCATCAATGGAAATCTGCCCCGGTTATTATACCCCATCACATTCATTGCAATGGCATTATTTTCCTCTCTAGACAAGACATGAGGATCATCAGCAGCTTCTTGGGTAGCACGTAGTGCTGCATCCTTCGACGCGACAGCAATATTATCCTAAATCACATAAGAAAAATAGATATATATTGATTTGTTAAATAATGAATGTGGCCCTGTAAAAAGCCGTGGGTGGAAATGCGATTTTTTTTTTAAGAAGCCTGATTTCAAAGTACAACAGTTTAAACTATTAATTAATGAAATGTACAACAACATAATAGTTATTATTTAATGATTTATTGAAAAATAATTACCACCAAAACCATGTTTTCTTTAATCTTGTCTTCGTTTTTATATGTTGAGTGAAAGGTGCTGTAAGCTAACTTCGCCTTCAAATTGATCGGCATTATGGGCTTCCCCTACAAAATATAATAGTAAATGTCAAAAAGTTTGGTCATATTGAAGGTTGTAGCATGTGAATACAACAATGTAAATATTATACCGTGTCTCGACAATAACTATACTCAAGATTGGCAAAGGACGTCGATCCCAAGTGGTGGTCAAGCTTCCGCTTGCTATGTCGGTTCGTCGAGCCCTTCTTAGATTTATCCTACAAAAAAAAGGTGTTAAAATGAATTGCATTTACAATATGCTTTTGTACGCAACCTGATAATGTACTCATACATGTGCGGGCTCGGTATCCCAATAAAAAAGAAGAGACGTGAAATGATCGAGATCCACCCTCTCATCGAGATTTAAAAATCTCTGCCAATCTTGGGTATATTTATCATATGTATAAACCTTCAGCTCATGTCGCCACTGTTTGAGCACGGCCTCAACATTGATATTGAAGACATAGTGTCACGCCCCAGGGTAGTCCTCAAGACAATAGTATTTCTACAATTTTGCATGTAAAAATATAAGATATCTAAGCATTTTGTAAACGTATTCTATATCAAAAAATACCGAAGTAATGATCATATACCATCAGCTCTGTCCATATATCCTCGTATGCGGACCATGGAAGCTCCTTGAATTTGAAGTACGGGTTTATGACTTGGGCCCGCCGTAAATGTATTCTATATCAAAAAAAATCAAAGAAGTAATGATCATATACCATCAACTCTCTCCATATATCCTCGTATGCGGACCACGGAAGCTCCTTGAATTTGAAGTACGGGTTTATGACTTGGGCCTGCCGTACTAAAATGCCGATGTAGTTATTAAATTTTTTTGACCACAGGCCGATCGGCAAGTTATCAACCCACTGAAGAATTCCCCGAAAGCCTCTCGGTGCCTGTTTGGAATCAGGCTTGCTTCCACCACATTTAAATAACATTCGCGCACAAAATGACATACATAATATACCTTCTACAACTTGCTATTTTCGTATTGAACGAGGTATTGTTTGTATTGTTCGGGCTATATTTAACGTTGCCTGCTTTCGTCTACTAGTAGTTGATTCTAGTTGCACATCTGCCTCTGGTTCTCTATCCCTGGCTAAAATTGGGTTGTCAGCGTGAACCTCCGCATCTGTCATATCAAGCATGACATTCTGAGGGTAAGAGAACATCTGCCAAATTTCATCAGAAGAACCAATTGGTTCATTGTCCTCATCACTATCGGCGTTATTATTAGGGAGGACAATAGATCTTGGCTCCTTGTATAGCACGACCCAATCGGCGGCAACCTTTGGGTCTTTCACATAGAAGCACTGGTCCGCCTGTTCTGCGAATATGAACTTCTCATCTAGATATATCTCTTTGTCGAGGTTTACTAGTGTAAACCCATAATGATCCTTGCGCGGTTTGGCAGGACTCCAGCGAACCTTAAACATGCAATAATTACGCTGACTTTTTTTACCATAGCCGTAAATTATCTCTACAATATCTTCTAACTGGCCATAATATAAGATGTCAGCTTCAATTGGGTTTTGATCTCTTATGCTAGAAAAACATTCCTGAGCAAAACAAACCATGACCCCCACTATTTTGCGTTACCCTCTTATCATTGGTCGCCACTGTTTTAAACTTATACCCATTAATGATGTGTTCACTATATCGTCTCACTTCATAGTAAGGACATTGTGTGTGAACTAAAATATCTTCAGAGATTACGGCACCAGCAAGAACGTCTTTATCAACCTAATTCAAGCATCAATTGAATAAAATGATCTCCGAGTTAGCTTAAAATTTTAAAAATAAAAAATACAATGCTACTTCTACGCTACTTACATCGGTTCTGAACCAATCGGGAAAATCTTTGATGTGTTTTTTTTGCGCATGTAACGTGATGCAAACGTATGACATTCGTTGGTCACGTAACCTTCAGCCATAGAACCCTCAGGATGAGCTCGATTGCGAACTAGACGCTTCATAAACCCCAAATATCTACAATAATTAAAATTTTATGAACTACAAATATCTAATCTAAAGAAAATCATGAATATGATTAATATTAGCTGTATACATTGCATATGAAATTAATGCACTGGGTGAAGTCCCTTACCTCTCAATTGGGTACATCCAACGGTAAGATACAGGACCCGCAATGATTGCCTCGCTAGCTAGATGTTGAGTAACATGGACCATGACCGTGAAAAAGGAAGGAGGAAATATTAACTCCAGGTTGCACAAAATTAATGATATTTTTGTTTCAAGCTTTTTAAATTCCTTCACATCTATAACTTTTGAGCACAATTTTCTGAAGAACCCACAATACTCCATGATAATTTTCGATGCTTCTTTCTCCATATTATTACGCAATGCAACCGGGAGCAATTGATGTAGAAGAACGTGATAATCATGGGTCTTTAGGCCTAAGAGCTTCCTCTCCTGCACCTGGACATTATTTGATATATTAGCTGAATACCCATCCGGTGATTTTACTGATTTGAGGACCTCACAAAATCTCTGCATCTGCTCGGTCGACATCGTAACATGAGAGGAAGGCTTATGTTTTTTCCTAAGTCCAACATCTTGTGCTTGCAAATCTTCCCGGATATTCAATGCAGCTAAGTCTTGTCGAGCCCTTAGGTCATCATTTGACTTATTAGGATCTTGAAGGAGGGTTGAAACTATGTTGTCGCAAACATTTTTCTCAATATGCATGACATCCAAGTTATGCCTGATTTTAAGCTTTTGCCAGTATGGCAGCTGGAAGAAGATACTGAATTTACTCCATCCCTTTGGTAATTTATCGACTCTATTATCAACATGTGCCCGTTGGAATGCTCTCTTCCTCTTCAGTGTCTTTTTCTTTTTACCGGAGCCTCTAACTTTGAGTGAGTCGTACTTAGAATATCGGTTCTTACCAAATCTAATTTTAGGAAGATGCTCAAGCAACTTTACAATATCAGCACCGGTCATTTGACGTGGTTTATTCCTAGTCTCAACAGTGCCGTCAAACTTATTGCTCAATTTTCTGTATTTATGGCCCGAGGGCAACCATCTCCTGTTGAACCAATAACAACACTTTCGACTATATGGTAAGTGAAGGCCTTCAAATTCTGGGCCACATACTGGACAAGCAAACTTGCCTTTTGTAGACCAACCAGAAAGATTAGCATAAGCTGGAAAATCATTAATTGTCCACATTAGGATAGCACGAAGTCTAAACGACTCTTTAGCATGGGCATCATATATCAACATACCCTCCGACCATAACTGTTTTAGCTCATCAATTAAGGGCTCTAAGTAGACATCAATATCATTACCCGGTGCATGCTTACCCGGTATCAGTAATGAGAGTATCATATACGGTTGTTTCATACAAAGCAGTGGGGGTAAATTAAATGGCATTAAGACAACTGGCCATGTAGACCAACCTGAACTCATAACCCTGAACGGATTGAATCCGTCGCTAGAAAGCCCAAGTCTGACATTTCTGCATTCATGAGCAAAATTGGGAAAAGTCTTATCAATATGCTTCCAAGCCTCTGCATCAGCTGGATGTCTCAGCTTACCATCTTCTATACGGTCTTCTTTGTGCCACCTCATGTTCTTAGTGGTGTCTTTGTTCATATACAGACATTGCAATCTGGAAACTAACGGGAAATGACGAAGCACCTTAGCTGGAATCATGCTCTGCTGGGACATTGACTCTGTTGGCTGCCTTGTTGAAGAGCGGGTTTGTTGTTTCCATCGAGAAACTCCACATGTTGGACATTCCTAAGGTCTTTATTATCCTTGTAGTAGAGAATACAATCATTGGGACACGCATCAATCTTATTGTAATCAAGCCCCAAATCGGAAACTATTTGCTTTGCCGCATAAGTTGTTTTAGGAATGCTACGCTCTCCTCCTGGAACTACCTTCCGTAGTAAATCAAGAAGCATTTCAAAATGAGTATTTGCCATTCCACTGAGGCTCTAAATATGTAAGAGCTCCAACATAAATGAAAATCTGGAGTACTCGGTGCAACCCTCATACAAATCCTTTTCACTATCCTCTAGTAGTTTCATTATACGATCCAAGTCCTCAGGAGCATGAGCGTCTTGGACATCAACTATGATATCATCTTCATTGTCATTGTTAATATCATATTCGGTATGGTCAGGTCCAATATCAGTCTGTAAATTTACGTCTGTATCATCTATCCTGACACCATGACTGGTATCGACATGCACATCCGGGACTTCATCTTCGGTACGACCTTCCCCGTGATAGGACCAATATTTATATTCCTCGTAAAAACCAGAGTTTGCTAAGTGACTTCGTATCTCATCTTTATTTTTCAGCTTCATATTCTTACACCTATAACAGAGGCAGTACATTGCACCGCTACTTAAATTTTTTGGGTTCATTTCGGCATACTTCATGAAGGCTTCACATCCATCCCTATAACGTTGATCACGAAACCGTTCACTCCTAGGGATATCTATCCATGACTTGTTAGGAATTTTCCTCATCTGTAGGTAATATATATTTAGAAACTCTATTTGAGAATAGATAGTATACCCATAAAATTTTCTGTATTCAAAACATACGTTGGTGCATTTAAGTATCGGCATTAAGGTATGGTTGAAACTTATTAAGGTATGGAGACTAATTAGCACACTCTAACGGCTGTCATAGGAAGGCTTCTATTCATTAAGAATATAATAGTGCTTACATCCAACTTCATATACTTTGTATGATTTCATTTCTTAAAAATTTCGACAGCACCTGCCCGCTGTTCTCCATGTACACTGTGCGGATGTTATTATGCGCACTGACAACATATCAAAACGCAGAACAACATACGCTTATTGTACACGGAGAACAACAGGTACGGGCTGCCAAAATTTTTAAGAAATAAAATCATACAAAGTATACAAAGTTGGATGTATGCACTACTATATTCCTAACCCGTCCGAGAAGGATAGATCCAATAATTACAAATTTCTATACCAATTCATTTCTATTATAATATATAGTGAACGATCAATTTCGAGTAGGAAAATTTACCTCTTACCCAAATTTGACTCGTTCATCTTATATTATAACCTCAAAGATTTGGCTGTAATTATTGGACGGGAGTCTAGGGTTAACGTTGTATTTGTTACCTAAATTTGATATATAACACATTATTATATAATATTGCGTTATATAGCACTCTATTTTTTGAAAATTTTTTCTTCCATAACTCACACATTTTCACCATAATACACAACAAATAGTTAGATATAGTGGAAATGAAACAAATATAAAAACTCTATCTAAAACCTTTTGATATAGTATAAGTATAGTCAATTAACATCATCCAAAATCAATTTATTGCATTTTTTTAAACACAACAAGTGCTAGCAGTGATGGCGCCAGAAATTCGAGGGGCCAACATACATAAGTGTATATCTTATTTCATTAAAAAAAAGAGAACACTGACTTCAGACGAGTAAATTTTTATGCATTCTCATTGAACGTCTAGCTAACATAATTTATCATATATCCTATTAGCCATAATGAGTTTCATCAGTCCTGAAGGCTAATGATACCAGATCATTCAGACACCAAGAAAATCAGTTCACAAATTTCTGATTTATTTTGAGGCCTGCAGATGGGTAATATCCAGGCAGTGAATACAACATATATTATTATTTTTTTGTTGTGGCTGGGATCTCGATGTTGTACTTGATGAGGCAGTGAATACAAACCATGGCTACTTGTTGCGTACATAAGTAAAATCATACCGCAGGGGGAGAGGGGGCCGGGACAAGAAAGGAAGCCGATATTTGTAGTCAAGCGTTGGTGGTTGTCCAAGTTACAGGTTTGTAGGAGACCAACATTTGTTCCATAGCCTGCAAGACCAAGACAAATTGAGAAGAAAACAGGGTAAATGAAAACAGTGTAAATACAAACAAATCAATTGAGAAGAAAACAGTGTAAATCGCTAGAAGGATTCGAACCCACGACCTTTAGATCTGGAGGAAGGAGGCGACGACGATGCTCGCGGACGAGAGAGGAGGCGACGACGAAATCTCCACCTTCCGGTTCCTGCGATTCGGTCAACGACGACGTCGGGAGGGAAGCGACGGCGAGGACGGGAAGTTTTCCGACGGCGACGACGATGCTGATAGCGATCCGAGGAAGGAGGCGAATTAGATCTGGGGATTTAGGGATTTAGGGGATGAAATGGAATTAGATCTGGGGATTTTTTGTTATAAAGGGTACCAAATATCCTAGACCGAAATTTCCGTCTAGGATAAATTCTAGACGGAAAATTCCGTCTAGGATATTCAAAAAATTTCAAAAAAAATTTAAACATATTATTCCCGTCTGCAATACTATTCTAGACGGAAATTTTCGTCTAGAATAGTATATTGTAGACGGAAATTTCTTGACGGATTTTTTCCGTCTAGTATAGTTTATCCCAGACGAAAAATTTTCCGTCTGGGATATTCCGTCTGGGATACTCGTATTTTTACTAGTGGCTGTTGTTTTCTAGATTTTCATTCCTTCTTTGTCGGGGTTTATTCTGGGCGACTATTCGCAACATTTTCAATCTTATATACTCTTTTGCATTATTTCTTAATGTAAGAATATAAAAATATCAACCTCAACTCTCTCATCAAAACTCCGGAGTTTTAGTGTAATGATTAGAGAAATTTAATTTAAGATGGTATCAGAACAGTCTGTGTTTAAATCACATTGACCACGAATTTGAAACGGATTTTCTAAAAATTGACACCTATATGTGAGTTTAGGTTTCGGCCCATTAAAAAGGCCCTCGGTCTGGGCAACCTACGGGCGCATGTTAAAATATAGAAATATAATCTTAAACTCTTCCGGTAACCCTGGAGTTTTGATTTAATAGTTAGAATGACTTAATTTAAAATTCAAAAAAAAAGAGAAAAGAAAGAAAAAGTACATTTTCTCATGCGAGTTTGTAGGTATAAATTTTCCTATACATTGTGAATAATCTGATTTTTTTTAACTAATATTTTCTTTCGGGAATTCTCTTTAGATGATGATTGGTTATTTTCTTCCTCACTCAAGATGGAACTATAAGAACTATAAAAAGTTAAATATTTCATTTTCCAAAAAATAAGAAATGGTCAATTATGGATTGACCTTTTGTACTGTTGCAAGATAGATTTCCGAGTGAAATCTTTTTAACTCTCTTACTCTAGGTCTATTTGGGACAAATGTTTTGATGTTGTTGTCATATCCAAATCTTCTCTAATTAATTAGATAAAAATTAAAGAGTATTTAATTACTCTAATCTATACTGTCGATTCAAATTTCAAGGGACGATCACTATTATTTTGAAAACCACTATTGTGAAAAACATTATTATGATAGTGTTAAATCTTACATGTTGTATCTAATCACCACAAATCTAAATGGATAGTGTAGATTTGTGTAATTGAATACACTTTAATTATTACCTAAAAGATAATTTTCTATTTTAATGAGCATAAAAGAGTTACAAAAGATTCACCTAGGGGCTCTATATTCGAAGATAGAACAACAGGGGTCTATCGGGAATTGGCAATGATACAAGTAGTTTATCCGCAATTAACAAAAAGAAATCAACTGCTTTATTTGTTCATTACAAAAGGCCATAGTCTAGTCCCTTGTAGACCATTTATACGTTATTTTAGTCCTTACGATACAATAATTTTACATGGGATTGATGCCAAGAGTTGACCAGGAAAAAGAGGAGCAATTTATAAAATCGATATAAATTACCTACTTTTATAGCCGGACTAGGTGCGCACTGTAATTGATATAACAATATACTTTCTTAATATATACCGATACCAATTTAACAGCATCACGATGCATTGATGTGAATCGATAACAACTTGAATATTGTCCTGATTGATCTGACGTAATTTTAACAAGGCTATTGTTGATTGTTTAAATCACATAGTTAAAAGAGAAAGTAGATAGGAATTGAGTTGATATAGGGGACGCTCATTTTTTCGAATATCCGATTTGGAGTTGAGTTGTTCGTCCTTGCATGCGTAACAACTTGTAAGAGGACGGGAATTGGTCCCCCCATTATTTTTCCGACAATCAAGTCACCTAGGTGCTTGAGTGGGAATATGCAAAAAATATGGCGAAAGGGAGAAAAATACTGAGAAATTACTTACCATTGTATTTGGAAAAGTTTTTCTTTTTATAGCAAAGCAAGAGAGGTAGTCTAGCCTTTTTGGCTGAGCCTGAGCTGGCGGCTGAGTCAGCATCTACTTTACATGTGTCGATCGTGGATCGGCTGTGTGATGAGCGTTGTCAATTCGTCATTAATGAGATGCGATAGGTAGCGCACGAAGCCGGCGGGTCCAATGTGTCATAAACAGTATCGGGGATGGAGAAATGATGGCGTATGCCAAGTATTTGATG